AATATTGTGTTTATATTGTAAACCCTGCTTATGATGTTTTAGAATTGGAATACATTTATCATAAACGTATTCTTTATAATTGACAATGCGCCGAGAAAATAAAATGACAGATTCACATGACATCTCAAATACGCTGCAGATGTCGAATGATGTAAATTATTGTTGAATGTTTTATTGATGATACTGCGTCGACTGAGACTATTGCTCAAAATAGAATCGTTTCTACCATTTCTGTTTTCATCATATCTAAAATTTTGTCTAAAAATTAATTTTAATTAATGACGTGCATAATTCTTAATCTCATAATTTTTATACTTCAATCTAGTAGACTTACGAGAAGTAGGTAATTATTTCGATGTACCTGAATTATTAACAATAGCGATTAGCCAATCATAGCGCAGGTAATAACTTTTCAAAACATTACACTAACCCCTCCGAGAAAAGCGCAACGCATATTAAATTACCAACTACAAAAAGGAATAGCTCTAATCCTAATACATCAGTTAGCAGCTGAAAACTTTTAGTATCTTCATTTTAGCATTTATTTTTTTTTCTAACGAATTTAATGTTTGTAAACTTACTCTAATGCTGCAATATATTGACCTAAATTATTGCATTTTGCATTAGCACAACATGATTGAGAATACACTTGTAATAAAATTGACGAAACAACTAAATCAATCCAAAATACACGAAAAACATCATGATCTTTGCAGTATTGTCGTATTTATCTTTTCAAATTTTCACTATTTTTCGTATTTCTATAATTTATTTGATTTTAGTATTTCAGTATTCAACCCTTCGTCGCTCGCATTCTTATCGTTTCTAAACATTTCAGAAAGCGACTGGTTGTGGACATGAAGTGTCTATAAGTTCAAGAACGCCAGTTTGTTCATTGGTCTTTGGGTTTTTAATTCACCAAGACACTAATTTACTGTTACCGACTAACATTACTGTAGGAATCTCGTGTAGTTTTTAACTTGTTGATAGATTTGATAGACAGTGTTTTTTTCGTAAACAGACCATAATACCCTGAGAGTACTTCAATATCAGTAGCAGTTTTTCCTTCTCTTTTCATTTTATCACATTGTATTTTACTTTATCTAATGCAGTTTCTTTCGGTGAATCTTGGCTTCAATTGACTGGATGTATCTCTACCATTTCCCTTCCACCCTCATCTGGTATTTGCTGCCTTCGGTTACCGTTAGATCGACAACAACACTTGGGTATCAAAGCTTTGACATTTTCTCGGTAAGTATCATTGAAGATGAGGTAGATGAAAACGTTGTACACAAGACTGACGCAGTAAATGACAACAGAGGCAAAATACAATTTGAAACGCGATGGGGCCGAGAGATGTCTCAACATTTGTTCAGACATCAAAATTTCAATACTGAGCAGAAAACCGCGACAAAGATAAAGCAAAGCCACAATTGTCACCGCATGTTTTAACACTTTTTTGTTTTGTTTTTCTCTTCTTCTTCGTTCTGATGTTGACAATCCGTTTACTTTGTGATGATAAAGTTTGTAGATGGTGAAAATGTAGGTGATTGTGATRAACAACACTGGCAAAACACTGTCCAAACCACCTAAGATATATTGATAAATCTCATACGATGACCAGTTCTTGTAAGATGCACCACAATAAAATGAGTTGTTATATTGTAGTGTTGTTAAAAAGAACAAATATGGTGAACATATTACGGCTGCAACAATCCAAATGACTGCAATGACGTGTTTCATCTTGCCCTCAAAAGGTCTGTTGAATGGATGAGCCACGGCGAAATAGCGGTCAATAGCAATGGCAACACAGCTATATACAGAAACAGCAAAAGTCATTTCTATTGCAAACAAAGTTAACTTGCAGAGTATATTACCAATGTCCCCACCAATCAGCCACTTTTTGCGGTCAAAGTTTACGTTCACTATTACATCTGGAAAGATAAAAGGTGATGCAATGATATCACTGACCGCCATGTTGGTTATCAAGTAATTGGTGGTCGTTTTTAATCGAATGTCCCTGAAGACTATCCACACTATAAGGACATTTCCCATCATGGCAAGAATAAATTCAAGAGAAAATGCCACAGTCAATGGTATCTTGCTATAGTAAGGGTAAGAAATATCTAAATGAGTATAGTTGCGAGTAGAATTATTAAACATCTTGTTTAAACGTACGCACTGATGATGATGTTTTAGAATGAATATGTTTAGCACAAAAGTTTTCTTTAAAGTTGACAAAATGATGCGTCCAGAAAATAATGAAATTAGAGATTCATGACATCTCAAGTACGCCGTGTCTGCTGATGAACAAAATTGGCAACTAGTTTTGCATATTAGAATCATAAAGATCGTGTTTTTTTTTTTTTTTTTTTTTTTTTTGTAAATTAATAGGTGAAGTCAAAAAACTACATTAAATCAAATTGGACAAGGCTTACAGTTCATAAGATCGTCCCAATCGTTATGAATTTAATATAGTTTACGTAACTAGCGCATTAATTGGGAGCGCTAGGTATGCAGTGTTTTGAGAAGTCTTTACGGTTCATTAGCCAAAGGCAAATAGATATTCAGTTTGAAAGGATATTTGGTCATTCGCGTCCTACGATCTACACATGCAGTGCTAGTTAAAAAATTAAGAAGAGAATGAGGCAAAATTATTACTCTTCAAAGGGTCAAAACAACTCCTTTATAAAAGAGTCAAAACGACTCATCGAGGAGTCGTTATAATGAAAGAGTCATTTTGACCCTTTAAAAGGTGCCATTTGGGGTCCAAAAATAAACAACTCCTTTTAAGAGGTCAAAAGGACTCCTTTGTTTTTACAGCGTAAGGTAGACAGTTTCCTTTCTTTGGCCTTGGGATCATTTTCTGGTGATAGCGATATAAATACAATACGATTAAGTAATATGATACCAGGTTTATAAATGATGTCTAGCACTTGCGTATATGTAACAATTAACAAATCAAGTGCCGAACTTGATCCATTTCAAGCATTTTTCTAGATTACTTTTTGACTCGGGGAACAGAATGAATCGTCCTCCATTTATACCATTTAACATGGCTGGGTAGCGCTCCTCTGCTTTACAAGTGCTCCAGAAACACCTCAAAACCATCTCAACTTCGCCCTTCGATCTAGTAGCCTGCGTTGCATCCCTGAAATTTAAAAATACCGGTCTGCGAAACAGCGCACAATATCGTGTTCCAACGTACTTGACTCTGATTGGCTCTTTCACGCAGACGTGATATATCGAAGAAAATTCCGGAATATGTAACGCATGCTAACGCCGATACGACTTTGTCCTCATTTTTTGTGGTTCAAAATGGCTCSCATTACGTCACCTCTATTCTGATTGGCTAACCCCTCGCGCGCGAATGACGCGATTGAACTCTAACCCATCGGAATATAAAAATTGCAACAATTCTCTATTGTTATTATTCATCAACCCCATCCTTTTCCTGCTCTGAATTCAAGGCCTCCCCGCACTTTAAGTTTGTATTGGTGAATACAAGGGTAGTCGTGACTACAATGGCGGTTACTGGATGTCTGTTTAACTTATCAATTATTAATGAATATTACAATATTAGCTAGTAGTTGTTTGAAAAAAGGTATAAGTAACTGGAAATAAGATAGAAGTATGTGGAAACAAGGTAGAAGTAACTAAAATTAAGGTAGAATTAACTTCCTCTAGTTTCCAGTTACTGCACGAGGTACAACTTACAATCAGGGATTGGCGGATAACTTCATGAATAATTAATGAGGATGGCAAGACATTACAACATTAGATATAAATTAGTTTATACGGTGTTCCACAAGCAGATGACATTGGAGATCTTTACAACCTAGCAAGAAAGTCATTCTTAGCTTGATAGACGGTTGAAGTACAAGAAGGCGTAGTAGATAACATTGCCTTCAATTATACGCATGCTTGTAAGGTAAGATTCATCAATTCTGAATTTCAATAATACTTTTATAACCTATATATTGAGGAGAAGCCCACGACGCCTGTTTCTGGGAGAAATATATCTGTACGTTCTTATGTACCAGCCAGCTGTAAGCCACAACTGGTTGTCAGCGAGAAATTCAGGAAAAAAAACATCTCTCCAGGCAAGGAAAACCTTCTAAGAATTTTTGTCAGCAAAGAGAAAATTTCCTAACAAATAAATATCAGCCGTTTTTGATCATAAAACGTATCCCCCCAAAAGGTATTGTAATAACATTACATCAGCCGTTTTTCAACCATAAATAGGTTATATAAGCTTTTTTGAACTTGAAAACATTTGCCTTGGTTTGGAAGGAACAAAATTATATTTTAAAGAACTGCAACTGATAAATAGTCCAGTGTACACTATGGCCAAAAATCGCATGAGAGCTCAATAAACTAAAACATTCTTCAAAAATAGAATCAGGAAATTTCGACCAAAATATATCTGTGAACAACTGCTTATCGCATTTTACTTTGATTCTTTAACTTAGTCGAAAAAAAGCTGGGAGGCGTTTGTAAGTATGTCATGGAGTGTCACAAGTTTATGAATAATCACTACACTCTAAAATCAAAGATATCATTCATTACAATTATAAAAAACTTTTGTCTCCAAGGTAACCATCGTCATGGTGATGATAGTACTTCTAACTGACATGATGATATGCGAAACAGGAAAAATGCTCATCTCGAAAACCAGCTGCCAAAGCAGTCCATGCTGTGAATTTAAACGAGAGATCCTATGGCAGAGGCTTGGTCACATGTACAATCCCAATCACGTGACCGACTCACTCGATGATAACACATTGCAAACCACTGACCTGTCAAAATCGTTGGCTCATGRTTCTATGAATATGGTGACGTCAAGGTCATTACACCATAGAAGTGTCTCAAAGGCCAAATATACCGCGGACGCATGGACATGCAATGCCACATACAAGTGGATTGACTTAGGCTCTAAATATTTTCCTAGATATCATAGATCAGCCAATTGTTCTAAAAATACTTGTTGGTTTAGACATTCTCGATGTGCAAAAAAGTATTTTCACTTGAAGTTCTTAAAGAAAAAACCAGTCAGTTCTCGATGTGCAAAAAAAAAGAATTCTCACTCGAAGTTCGTCGTCGTAAATAAAAAACCAGTCAATTGTCAAAAGGTTAAAACCCAGTGCACATTTGCGCCAAACTTTGACGACTACTATCTGTTGTAAAGATATTTAACTTACACAGTACATTACCAATGTTCCCACCAATCAGCCACTTTTTGCGGTCAAAGTTTACGTTCACTATTACATCTGGAAAGATAAAAGGTGATGCAATGATATCACTGATCGCCATGTTGGTTATCAAGTAATTGGTAGTAGTTTTTAGTCGGTTGTCCCTAACGACTATCCACACTATAAGGAAGTTTCCCATCATGGCAAAAACAAATTCAAGAGAAAATGCCGTAGTCCATAGTATCTTGCTGTAGTAAAAGTTAGGAGTATTTGGATGTGTATAGTTGCCAGCAGAATTATTAAACATCGTGATTATGCCGTAGTATACCGAAGTATGCCGTAGTTTAGTATAAAAGTGTTCTTTATAGCTGACAAAAATGTGTCACCAAATGAAGAAATGAGAGATTCATGACATCTCAAATACGCTGCAGATGTCGAATGATGTCAAACATTGGTTTGGTTTATTTAATGAAATAAATTTGATTGGTTTATTGATGAAATGCGCCCAACACTATCGCGCTACAAAAGACTTTTCTTTCTCTTTATTTTCCTTTCCAAAAATTGTAATCTTATTTTTTAATTTACAATGAAATATATACATATCATTATGTCTAAATGGATCATTCTAGTAGACGTCTTGCTAGAAGTCCAGCAATCTTGCTGAATCAATAGAAGGCGATTAGCCAATCATAGCGCAGGTCACTCGTCAAAATGTTAGAATGAACCCTTCGAGAAAAGTGCAATGAATATTAATATTACCAACTAGAAATGAATGTCTCTCAGTAAGTTGAGAAACTGTTGCTATCATCACTTTTATTTAGCATTTGTTCTATTATCTAACCATTTTATTACTTACTCACTAATGTTTTCATAGCCTACTTTTGCATATTGGAATCATAAAGATCGTATTTATAGTGATCATCTTGTTTGAATAGAGGAAGTGGATAACCAAC